CCGCAAATAACGACCTAATGACCTATCTTGTGTCGACATGCTTGCAGTGTTATTGTAATGAAACTCGTAGAAGTTCTGCACCCCCATCGCCGGTCTAAGAGGGATACAACGTCCCAGCGGAAAAGCGAGACACTTCGTAGTTTAAAATTCTTCGGATTCGGGGATCAAACCCTGGTCTTCGGCGTGCGACGGCAAAGCGCCTAACCACTATACCACAGATGCTGTTGTGATGGTCTTTACTCGGATTGTGGTTTATTTCTGTGTACAATGTCCATAACAGTCAGATATCTTACTATCTTAATAGCTAAAGCAGTTGGCGAAGTTGCCAGTTCAAAGGTAGGTATAGTTATAATTACTCTCGGTTGATCTATAAACCTTCTGGTCCGGAAGAGGGAGTGGTGGTGGTTTGAGGGGGGGGGGGGGGGGGGTGCATATCATGGTGGATGTCTCTGTGTGTTGGTTTTTTTTGGGGGGTGGTGGTGTCAGTAATACCTAACGAATACAATAAATGAACAGTGTTTCTTTTTTTCGCACCGCGGATAATAGCAGCAATAACAACAGCGGCAACTACAACGACAATAATAAAAACAACAACAACAATAACAACAACAACACCATCAAGTAACAACAACTGCAATAAAAAAACAGCAACTACAACAACACCAGCAACAGCAACAGCGACAATAAGAGTTACAACAACAGCAGTAGCAGCAGCAACTGCAACCATAATAACAATGAGAGCAACAAGAATAACATTAGTAACAAAGACACTAGTAACAACAACAACAACAACAACAACAACAACAATAGCAATAACAACAGCAGCAGCAACCATAGCAGCAGCAACAACAACAAGAACTGTAGCAACAGCGACAATATCTACCGCAACTGGCCCTGTAGATGTATTTTTAAATCACCGTATACATTGTGCACTTTTAAGATGTGCTGTGTCCCGTCATCCTTTGCACCCCCCCCTCCCCCTTCAACCCTTTACCTTCCCTCCTACC